ACACACACACACACACACACCCAAACCGAACACACACATACACACTGAGCGCTATATTGTGGCGTTACAGATGGCTTCTCCACATCCCAGCTGTGCTTTGCGCATATTTGCCTGTGCGTGTGTGTTACTGTAGGTGTGTGTATGTGCGTGCATGTGTCTGATTGATTATTCTCTCCCAGGTGCTTCTACTATTCAGCAGCCTTCACTCTCTTCCCGTCTTTCTTTCTCTTTTTTCTTGCCTTCTTTGTGTGAAGCCCCAACACATCTGGTTTTATCTCCACAAAAACGGTGATAAGTAATAATAAAGTGGAATTAAAGCAGAAAATAGCCTGGCGGCTCCATCCTCAAAATTCATTATGTTTTGTGGCGGAAATACATCCTAACAAGTGAGATAATTGATGATATCAAAATATAATTTAATTTCACATTTTGGCTCAGGTTTATCCCTAGTTTGAGCCTCAGGTGACTGTGTGAATGTGTGAGTATGTTTGTGTGCTCTGATCCTGGCTGCCATGGCTACGGCTAGGTCAGTCAACAGACATCTGAGCGAGAGGTCATTAGCATCTCCCTCATGTTTTCTATGCATGAGAACATTAGCAATTAGCCAGATCCCCTCTATGCGCCCGCCTGCCCCATTGTCTGGGCGACTGAACAGCACGCCTTGGGATGTGGCTATCATCGAGATCACAAGCCAACATGAAGTCCGTCTCTGACGTCTGAGCCGTGATTGTTTGTTTTTCACTTGTTGTTTTTGTTCTTTGGCGGATTTAGCACGGTTCACCATGTGAGTTGTGTACTGTTGGGCACAAGCCTTGACTGTTAATTGTTGGCATTTTATGTCTGAGGTGTGTGTGTCTGTGTGTGTGTGTGTGTGTGTGTGTGTGTGTGTGTGTGTGTGTGTGTGTGTGTGTGTGTGTGTGTGTGTGTGTGTGTGTGTGTGTGTGTGTGCACCCACGCGCCAACATCTCTCTCCTTCCTCCCTCTCTTCTTCCTCCCCTCCCAGAATCCCCAGAGGTTAGTGAGAGCGACGAGGCCCAGCTCTATCAGTCCTGGTTCCATCTGGTTCTAGAGAAGAACCGATTAGCCCGCTACGAGTCTGAACTCATGATCTTGTAAGTGACAGCATCAGATCCCGCGAGGATTAACAACTTGTAAAGAACAACATAAATTCTGTAGAATATTGTCGCAATTCCTATTTCTCATCAGTAGAGGTCGCTCGATTGTATCCTCTCTCTCTTAGTGCTCAGGAGCTTGAACTGGTGGACTCACAAAGCCGAATGCAGCAAGATCTACGGCGCAGGATGGCAATTGAAGGTCAGGATGAACTAGCATTTTCATCTGCATAAAACATTCAAAACCAAACCCACAGACCCGGAAGTTAGCTTTGAAGGGGCTCTTTCGTCAAAAAGCAATGGGATTTTGGAATATTCCAGAAAATAACATCTGTGGCAAACAAACTTTGATATTACTTGCCTGTATTGTTACGCAGTGTAATGTCCACATATACACACCACTTTTATGGTTTTTGAAGCGTATCTTGGTTAACATCGCTAAGCTTCAAACATTCACAAGTCGGGGTGTTTACTGATGTATTTTAAAACGTAAAAAAAAATCCCTCACGCTTGTATTAACCACAGATCTTATTTCAGACATCTGACCAAAAACCATTGGCTTTGAGACGAGGGAACCCGGAAGTGCTAAAATAATAACTGATTTCTTGGATTAGTACTCATTCCTGCACCACTCTTTATCGCTGAATACAAAAGATACAAACACAATCCAATTATCAGAAAACGGTGCATCAACTTCTTGCTCTTTTCTCTTCCACCTCACTCCAGATACACAAAAGAGTGCCTCTGAGCTGCAGAGGGAGCAGGAGATCCTGGCAGATATCATGAGGACGGTGGAGAAACGAGACATGTTGGTGTCTTTACTGGAAGAGCAGAGGCTGAAGGAGAGGGCAGAGGACCGGGACTTGGAGAGCCTGGTGCTGTCCAAGGGCCACGAGTTCCACTGGGCCCAGGTGGAGGACAGCTGGGGGCCGGAGAAGCTGGCCTGAATGTTGAGAAGAAAAGTACTGTAAGGCACTACATACAGTGAGAATGAAGCATATTAGTTTGTGTCTAGGTGTTTCACCACTCTAAAAAGGACAGAGAGGCTTCATCTAGTCTCATTTTGTGCTGATATGAGAATGGAAATGGAACTAAACTAAAGATTCCCTTCACAGCAATAAGGGCTAATGACATCTCTGCCATTGAGATGATTTAACCTCCAGGCTCTGGAGTGTAATCTGTCATGGCCCCAGGCCTACACAGCACTGCAACTGGATGTACAATATGTTTAATCACTACTAACATATGACTGCCTTTGTAACATTTGCTCAAACCTCAGAAACCAAACTGACTGCCCAATCAACAACTGCTCTTTGTGGTTGCTTGCCTTAAGCGTGGAACTGTTGTGACAGATGTGTTTTTAATGGAACACTGGGTAGCCTCACTGGATAGCACATGGAAGGACTCAACACTTTCCCTCAAGTATTATTGTTTTTGCACAGTATGGTTTGTTTTAAAATGTGCTTTATGTAATTCACTGTCACTTTGTAGCTATGTGTGTAAACCCTCCTGTGTGTGTTTTAATATTGGTATTTTTCACTTTGTGCTGAAACACTGTCAAATTCAATTAAATGGTAATGACTTCTTATGCAGTCTATGATATATACCCATCCATCGTTAAATACAGGAGAAATAGAATCTTCGCTGCCACATATTTGTAGCTAGTTGGTAAGATGTACCTCTGCCATGTGGCAAAAAACGTCCAATTTTACTTCATTGTGACACAGGTTGCCAGATAATTAAACAATGTAATCACCGGCAGAAAACTGTATGCACCAATTGAATTGTTCATGCATGTTGCACATCTGACTACATCCCACTCAGTGATATCAAACCTCTTTGTGACCTCACTGAAGTTATTTTTAATTCAGAGTGAATTTACGCTGTAGCTAGTGGCTAACAACTGTAAATTGAACTGTGATGCTTTGTTTCGCTGGTTTTCACCAAGTGTATTGGCTGATGAAGATGAATTATATGTTTACAGGATTTTTGTCCAAGAACAAGGATCCACAATTCTCTTTTGGTCCCCGAGCTTTAAATGTTATTGTGAATGTGTTGTTTTATGCTGCTTCAATACTTTAAATTGGAGAAAAAAATCTTAAATAAATGAATTAAAAAACTCTTACTTAATACTTTTTTATTGACTACATATATACAATTTTAAGATAAGCACCCTATTAGCAGGTGTGTCAAGAGACACGTGAAGGGAGCGTCTACAAAGTGCAACACTAAGTAGAGAATATAGGAATATTCAATAACTTCAGTGTAGCTCTCTTCAAGACACACTCAGACACTGGTCGGTTCTTTAAAACGGGCGTTTATTTCTTGAAGTGAGAACTCGTTGGCCGCTTGTCGAGAAAGGAGATTCATCTTTAAAGTTCCTTTTCTGAATAACTTTGTCACGATGATAACTTTGTCAAGGACTGCAGCAGAGCTTCAACAAAAGACATCAACCCACGTTGAGTTGTCCAGTGCATAAACAAAACATGCAGTTACAGTACCAGTAGGCACAAGAAACAACGCATAAAAAAACTATTAAATCCTGCCATATGTTAACGATTATAATATTACATGAAATAAAGTATTTATTTATTGAATTTAACTATGAAATGTTGTGTTATTCATTTTTAATTAAGGCAACTTTGTTACGTCATTTACATTCAGTGTTAACACAATCACTTCTTAAATGCATTTTCCCCTGTTGGCTAACCTACAAAACTCTACTAAAATGTACTTTTGAATAATTCTAGTATTCTTTTCTTTGGAAAATAATTCAATAAAACAAGTTATTTATTTTTAATAAATGTTTTGGTGGTTCTTCATTTTGTGCTATAGCATATTTATTATAATATTTTCAGGCATGCATCTCTGAGACTTCTTTTTTTTTTTTTAAACAAAAAGAAAATAGGGTTTTTTGGAATGTGTAAATACAATTAACATTGAATTTAAAAAGGGGTTTATTTTATAGCCCTCGCCAACATTTCCACTACTAACACAGGGTTAAAATCGTAAAGGGTAAAAAAGGTGTAGGCTATTTACTATATATTAATATCAGATTAATATGCATATTAGTTTAAAGTCTTTGTGTTGTGTAATGTGCCACTATGAGCTGAATTATAGTGACAATTGCCAATTTTTTCAAGTCGTCTTATAGCCTATATTCATGTATAGTAGGCATAGGCTACCCTTTAGCAATCTACTGCAAAGCACAGCCTTTTGTGGCGTAACATTTTCTTTAGTTCCACCTTCTGGGTCCCTTACGTTGCTCCAGTCCTGACACCCCTCGCCGGCCGCTGAGCCTCTTTTCCGGAGAGGAGCAGCGGAGCTCCCGCTCCTCCTGGCCACCAGCCAGTAGCAAGAGGACTCTCACCGGTCCTCCTCCGCAGAGGAGGGGCCACACTCTCCAGCCAACTTCGGGAGAAAATATGTGGAATTCCGTTTCCGCTTTAGGGAGTGGACGGTGTTTTTTTTTTTTCCCTTGACTTCCAAACAACTTTTACTCTCACACCAACTCGGATAACTTTGTATTACCTGTCCCGGATTAAACCATCGTGAAGACGATGGCTTCTTCGCCTCAGAAGTCCCCGTCCTCTCCGAAGTCCCCGACGCCCAAATCCCCGTCCTCCAGAAAGAAAGATGACTCTTTTCTGGGCAAACTTGGAGGAACTTTAGCAAGAAGGAAAAAGGCGAAAGAAGGTAAACCGTTAACGTAAGCTAAATAACGTGAAGTCAAGAATAAATATCTGATTTAAGTCCATGGATAGAGTCCAATAGCCTATGTTAACTAATATCCGACATTAGTCTTAAAGGTGTAGAAACAGTCCCCACAAGTTAATAATAATAGTCTACAAACACACATCTTAGATAGCTTACAAGTTTAGCGCTAATGTATAGTTGTAACCAGGCATTAAACGTATCCTAAACGCATTCAAAAGAAACACCGTTAACTACAGCGTGTGGTTAAAGTTTGTGTTTTCATGGCCGCGGGCTGTGTGCAGCCATGTAAGGAATTGAATCCACTAGCCTAATGTAATACGTGAGGAATGAGGCAGAGTAAACACACAGAAGCTGAGGGCTCCTTCAACATTCCCCCCGCTTTCACACATAGGGGAGAGTGGGGTAAGTTGAGCCATTTTTTAGTTATGCTGTCCTCTAAGCAAGGAGAAATGACACATTAGTAAAAATGAAAACACACACCTATAATTCAGGATGTCTCCGATCAATGACAATGATAATAATTCATATTTGATCAAGGAAAGTTCAAATATGACTTCTTTAAAAAAAAAAGTCTTGTGGCTGAACTTGCCCCAGTGTAGGGGTAAGTTGATCCAGGTCAGGGGGTAAATTGAACCACTGTTCAAACCTGGGCATACCTGTTCAAACCTGGGCATACCTACAACACATCTTAAAGGTAACTATAAAAAATAAATAACAAACCAAATACAAGCTTAGTTTTTCAAATTGTTGTAATATACATTTAGATTGAATTGATTGATTTTCTTTTTAACATGTTAAAAGGAAAAGTAATCATACAAATGGTGATACAATTTCATATATCTTATCAATAAAACACAGGGTAAATTCAACTTTAAATGTAGTCTACAATGAGCTCTTAATATCAACTTGGCCTACTTTCATTCATTTCTCCATTGAAAAACTGGCTCAACTTAACCCAAGGCCCATGGTTCACTTTACCCCATAGCCACCATTTTAGAAAAAATAGCCTAGCATTAAAATTCAGAATCATCTTTAGCTTAAAGGTGACCTATCATGCAAAATGCACTTTTCTACGTCTTTTCAACATGAAT